AGCAGTAGCAGTAGTCGTAGTCGTAGTCGTGGTCGTGGTCGTGGTCGTAGGAGTAGTAGTAGTAGTAGTAGTAGTAGTAAACTTGGTAGTAGTCGTCGTCGTCGTCCTAGTGGTAGTAGGAGTGGTGGTGGTACTAGCAACCAGTAGTGGTAGTGCTAGTGGTGGCCGTAGTGGTGGTCGTGGTAGGAGGAGGAGGAGAAGGAGGAGGAGGGAGGGAGAGAGGGAGCAGAACAAGTGCTGCTGTACCGTTTGAGGAACTACATTGCAATAGCTACATAGCCCGGCGATTGTCCATTCTGCTGTGACGGCAGGGGTGATGAGGCTGGCAAGATCCTGCGCATGCACTGCAGGATGTGCTTCTCGCTGAGAATGCAGATTCTTCTGATGATGCAGCAAAGCGCGCAGTCAGCCTGCGCCAGGGCCTGAGGCATTTCTACGGCAGGTTTGCAAAGTTCTGGCCTCCTACTCCTATATTGAGGGCTGCTGAATGCATGCTTTGCTGCCAAAAAAGCGTCCGGAAAGGTGTTCGCACTGTTGCAAGTTGAGACTGTCGACTTGGATTGCTTTGCCACTTCGAGTAATCACAAGCCGCAAGTCTCTCGAGTCGGGAGCATTCCGGCTGCTTTGAGCATCAAACAAACCTCAGAAGAACCAGTGCCCCGCCAAAAGACATCTGAAGCCTCTTGATGCACAACGTCCAAAATCTGAGCCATCATCTTGAAAGAGGCACTGGCTTCTCCAACGCCTTGCGAAACGAGCTGTTGGAGAGGCTGCAAGATCTGCACCTGCATGACGAGCTTCGAGCTTGAAAGTAGACTGCGCAGGGTATAACCTGCAAGTATGTAGAGATGGTAGATCCCCCATAGGGCAACGGTATTGACGGGCAAAGGACCGGAAGTGTTGCTAGCATCGACAGGGCCTCGTACCTTGGTGCGTCGGTCCCTACATCCACAGTCTCGATATTGAATTGAGCCACTTAAGACGCGGAGGCCATTTGGCAAGAAGCTCCTCGATGGCGCGTCGCGTGCGCCGAAGGCAAGCTTGTTGTGCCGCGTGTCGACTTCGCCGCGTGAGCTCATAACAATGGGACAAGCTCCAAGATTGAAAGGACACCTATCGAGAACCAGTACCAAACCGATTGAAGCAAAGATACGACCACGGCGTTTGAGGAGCCATGTCGTCAAAACAAGCTGTTAAGTCGCAGAGGCCCACCAGTCATGCCCTGAGCTTGCAACAGATCCATGTGAAGCTTCAAATTTCTTAGCCCTCCAACCTTCTAGTTGCCGAAAGCCTGCATGCACAAAAGCTGGGTCCCACAGCGACCAAATGCTTGAATGCTTCACTGCAAGGTGCGGGTTGAGGTTCGTGCGACGGCTGCTCGCTTTCTCCACAGTGAGGCTATGGCGGCTATGAGGGTTTGGGGTTGCAGGATGTGCGCTTTGCCAGCCCGTCAGGGCATCTACTCATGGCTGTCGGGAGTTGTGACCAAAGCCGTAGATTGTAGAAGCCCAAGGATCGTTGCCGATGCCTATCCATGAAGGCTTTTGAGTTGTTGCTGCAGACGGTGCCACCCATAAGCTCGCACACACTTCTACAGAGTGCCCAGGCACCGATCATGCACTCAAGCCCAGAAGATGCCACTCCAAAGCCCGCAAGCTGCAGACTCTTCGCACAATGCTGGAAGCTCTGCACGTCGACCGGAGGCTTTCACCATCGGCCGGGCAGCAGAATGCGATGTCCAAGCGACTGGCGACCCTACAGCCAGCCGGCCAGGAGCCGAGAGATCATGGCATGCATCGATCTGAGGTCAACAGCGATCTTTAGAATTTCCGCATGGTGATTTCTCTACTTTTGCAGAAGCAAATTTCTCGTGGCTGCGCTCCAGGCTACAGCTACTGGTGGTGTCACTCCCCGCTGGCCTCGTCATCGTCGATGCCTGGAGCGTACCTGCACGGATGACGGTAGTGGGCACTGTACTGGGCTTTCCGATTGTATCTTGAACATACGCTGTCTTGCTTTGTTGTCTTTGCATGCGTGGCTGAACAGTCAAGGGTCCGCCACCGATACGCTATATACCCAAGTGCCGCACAAGCCTTTCTCAACCGGTAGGAGCGGTGGAGGCACTCGGATGGTGAGGCGAAGCGGCGCAGTGGAGGCGAATGTAAAGCGGTGGTAGGATGGAGCTGGTCTCAAGATCTTCGTTCAGAGACATGTGGTTACGTCTTTTGCTGCACGCTGTGTCCCAAGTCTGTTTGGCACCCATGGCATGACATAGCACTGATGGCAAGCAAAGCCTGGTACACAACATAGCGCTGCGAAATGCCACACATCCTTGCCCGGACATCGGCGGACTGTGGGATCCAGGGGGCTGCATGGCATGAACCTGCGTAAATTCTGGACCAGACGTTCATGTAGGCTGCATGTTGGGTGAGGCTTTCATCGGAAGGACCGTGCACGACATATGAGGAGCAGAACTCTGCCTGGAATTTGCCACGACATGTGGAAGTTGTTGCCGACAGGCGCACAGCTTGCAAGAGGGATCGCCCACCCGTCTGCCGAAATGCCACATCAACATCTCGTCCAATGCCTTGCCAATGTGCAGACAACATAAGATGGATGCAGGTGTTTTGCAAAACTGTAAAGCCCTCCAACACAAAGGTTGCAGCAAGATTCCCTCAGTCAACGGTGGGAGCCTGGACTCAGAGCCCGAAAGGTTTTGATTGCGTTGCTCACCGAAGGTTCTTCCTTCGTCCATCCCGCAGCATCGCACAGCCATTTTCGTTCCCCATGAGGCCGGGAAGATTTTATTTTGGGATGTGTGATGTGGAAGGCTTACCAGGTTTGGCGCGAGGGTGTTGAGTCTTGACGACGTGACTCACATCCGTGATTTGCCGAAACCTAGCCCTCAACTTCCGAGTGCTAAGCCCGAAAGCCTGAAGCAGAAATACCTCCAGCCAATGCACAGACGTGTGCCCAAGAATTGGGGTGTTTTTGGTACTGAGCGACAGTGCACACAGGCGTAGAGCTGCGGTCCTCGTCCAAGATTCTCCACAAGCCACACAAGCCCCGACAAAACAGAAGCTTGAACTCCAAACCCAGCTCCAATGCAGGAGCGGGTGACGCTTCTTATCGGCGCCAGGACAAGTGTGACACTTGGACCAGCGGTCAACACTCTGCCAAAGGCCAGGACGTCATCCCAATTTACGTTGTACTTTGGGTTTGGGATTCGGGGTTTGTAATCTTTTCAGGCGCATTGCTGCCTCTTCTGCTGCTCGTTCTTCTCATTACAGCATGCTATTTCACGACCAGTTGGGCGAACGCCACACGTAGTCCTCCTTTGACAGACCTTCTCGTCAACTTTGTTTGTGCAGACCGCCTTGGCCACGCCGCGCATGACCACCAAGTCCATCATCGAAGCTCAGGCTCCAGCTGCAAAGGTTTGCCGCTGCACAGGCAGCACATGACAACATGACAACATCACCTCAAATTCCTGATGAAAGGCATCCGCAGCGAAGGCCACACCGTCACAGTTGCCCAAGGCTCGGCTCTGTATCCGGAAATTGACACCTGGGGCCGGTGAAGGGTTCGGATTTCCCTACAACGACGTGGTGTTGAAGGGAACAGAAAATAAAACTCAGCTCAGGAGTTAGAAGCGATTTAGTGAATGAGCTGTCGGGCAGCGGATGTTTCCCCTGGCTGTCAAGACCTCCCCCTCGCGATCGAGAACCTTGTGGATGGATGCCGTGCGCTACCTTGCGGACAGACACGCAAGTGCAGCCAGCAGTTCAAAAATC